CACTTCACCTGTTACAGAGAGGGACATTTGGTTAGTGAGTACAGTAAGTCCTTCACTTACCAACACATTGGGAACCTCCTGAATTGTGTATAATATTCTTAATACACAACGTACCAACACATTGGGGACCTCCTGAATTGTGTATAATATTCTTAATACAACGTACCAACACACTGGGAACCTCCGGAATTGTATATAATATTCTTAATACACAACGTACCAACACATTGGGGACCTTTTGTATTGTGTATAATAGACCTACAGACAGTTACAGGCAGGCTGGGCTCCCTTCTCACAACTTTGCTAATATAAGTGATTACAACCCAACAAGTGTGTTTATCTCCAACCATCTTATCTCCACGGAACCCTCCCAACATCTCAACATGTTCATAATCCATATAAAATGCATTTTATTGCTCTCTACATGCATATAAAATGCATATAGGAAGCACCTCTATCTTGTGCTCAACAGATGGAGGATTAAACCTCAAGCACGTTTTGCACTGAATGACCCACATGGGTTTAGTGCTTCTAATGAAAATAAAAAAAATTATTGCTCATTCTCAATGGTGATATGTTTGAAGAATATACATATGTAGCTATTTCTATGTTATGTTGAGAATATTATTCATGGGAAGCTCTAAGCTCTAAGTATCACTACATTATCTGGACACAACAATTTATTTTTGTAATTTTTATTATTAACACATTGGCCACTTCCCACCAGAGTGACCCCAAAAAAGAAGAAACACTTTCACCATCATTCACTCCATCACTGTCTTGCCAGAGGTGTGTTTACAGTTATAAAACTACAACATTAACATCCCTCCTTCAATTTATAATTTCATTTAAGAGATTTATATAATACTGCACTGAAATGTGTCCATTAATCCTTAACACACATAAGATGAAGAAAATCAGGAAATAAGTGGGAACCGATTGTATACAGTAGGACGTCCATATCCACAGATTTGGTTTCCGTGGTTTTCGGTTATCCGTAGTTCACTGTGGCACAAAAATAACCCTTAATTTAGCATATGACCCCAAAGTACAAAAGTAGTGATGGTGACGGCTGTTCAAAGTCTAAGAGAAGCCTTGAAGTGCTTCCCATCAGTGAATTATTATAACCAAAAAGAAGCGCTAAACCTACAAGGGTCATACAGGGCCGCCCCATCAGTGAAAAAATAATAAGTCTCCACTTATTGTGCATAATTTATTAATTACACTTTATCCTAGGTATGTATGCAAATGAAAAATGACATATATAAGGCCGGCTACTATCCACAGTTGCAGGTATCCATGGTAGGTCTTGGATCATATCCCAGCGGATACAGCGGATACCAGGTCACTACTGTATTATAATAATACTAGTATACAGCGGACCCCGGTTTACGATATTATTTCATTCCAGAAGTATGTTCAGGTGCCAGTACTGACCGAATTTGTTCCCATAAGGAATATTGTGACGTAGATTAGTCCATTTCAGACCCCCAAACATACACGTACAAACGCACTTGCATAAATACACTTACATAATTGGTCGCATTGGGAGCTGATCATAAAGCGGGGGTCCACTGTATTTTATGAAAGGATTCAGAGGAAATGGTTGATCTGAAGTGTGAAAAATAGTATGTGATACCAACAAGTAATTTGAAAGACACAAAATGTAATCATGGGGCTTTTTATTGGAAATGGCCCGGTCCTCGGCTGAAACACTTCCGATAAAAATGCCCGTGTTCGAATTTTGTCCTCTACTACTTGAGGTGGGAAGTCAGCGCTGTATAGCCCTTGTGGGTTTAGCACTTTGTTCTGATTATAATAATAACAACTGAGGTGGGAAGTACAATGGCTGCACTCTGAAGGATGGTGGACGTTGCTCTTCAGAGGCTCATATGAACTTTGATATCTGCACATTACTGGAAAGACAGCTGCTGAATAAATGATGGTGAATGTGTTTCCTTCCTTCAGTCACCCTACCTTGGTGGACAGTGAATAATGTGATTAAATTATTTCAGAGACAGTATGTTGTATGTGTCGTCTTACATCGGCCATAATTCACAAACTCGTACATACAGCATCTCATTAACTGTTTCATGTATAATAATTTTTTTAATCTCAACAGTCATCATTTGCCAAGGCAGGGTGACCCAAGTGGGAGGGGCTGGGTTTAGTGGGAAGGGCTGGGTTTAGTGGGAGGGGCTGGGTTTAGTGGGAGGGGCTGGGTTTAGTGGGAGGGGCTGGGTTTAGTGGGAGGGGCTGGGTTTAGTGGGAGGGGCTGGGTTTAGTAGGAGGGGCTGGGTTTGATTGGTGTCATTGGATATGGGAGTAAATTCTTGGGCAGGTTGGGTATGGGTCATTTTGATAAGGACCTGCCTTGTATGGGCCAGTAGGCCTTCTGCAGTGTTCCTCCATTCTTATGTTCTAAAAAAGAAACACTTTCACCATCATTCACATGATATCACACTGTTCTTGCATAATGAGTAAATAGAATCATCAAAACTTATTTTTTGGGTAGCATTGCAAATTGGGTTGGGCAAATATTTTGTTAATGGGAAGGATTGTAAAGGACTTGCCTAGTATGGGCCAACAGGCCTGCTGCAGTGTTCCTCCTTTCTTATGTTCTTATGTTTGCAAAGGCACCCAGATATGACAGTTTAGATGTTACTCCAAACAGCCAATATCTCGAACCCTTCCTTTAAAGTGCAGACATTGTACTTCCCACCTCCAGGACTCAAGTCTGACTAACCGGTTTCCCTGAATCCCTTCACAAGTATGATCTTATAATTACATATTCTTAGAGCAGAGTTCAATACTGCCACTTACCCTCATCTGTGACATTATCAATCAGCTTTCCAAGAAGAATAGGTCTTCCAATAATATAACCAGGATGTCCACTTCTTTCAAATACAGTATTATTCTTGACCGATGCCCAAATAAATCTGGTATCAAAGTCTTGTTTAAGATACGTCATTGTGTTGGCTACAGTAGTAAGGTATATTCTGGCATGTGCATGATAAATACCCTCTGTACCATTGTGTATAAACACATAATTAATACTTAAAGCCACATTTTCGCAGACACCTGATTTATAAACAGGCTGAGGTATATTATTAACGTCTGTTTCTGTACATCGTTCTTCATTATCATCAACCAAGCACAAAAATACTTTGACTGGCAATAATTGCCCATCGGACAAATATTTTGAATCTAAGGCCACATTTGATGGGGCTGCATTTATAACTAGTTTCTTATTTATATAACTAATTTCTATCAATTTTCTTGTTCGTTTCTCATCAACAGTGAGGTTCTTGGATTCGTCCAAAATGGGTAGTTCTTCCTCATCAATAGACGATACATTTGTGGAAGATTCGCCTAGTTGACTGATGGATGTTTGTGGTACAAGCGATGTGAACTCCGCTGCTTCTGTTGTGACGGACATGCTGGAGCTCTGTAAACATTAAAAACAATACGCAAATAAGTCACACATAGGAGAGAAAAGCTTATGTTTTTTTGTTCTGACTTGGACCATTAACCCGTAAACGGTCCAAGCAGATCTACGTTCACATGTGTAGAGCTACAAAAGTAGATATACGTTTTTTTTACATATTTTCAAATATAACAAAAAAACAGTAGATCAAAGTTTTTTTACACATTTTCAAATGTAAAAAAACAAAAAGAAGATCTACTTTTTTTGCATAGTTTCAAATGTTAAAAAAACGTATATATACGTTTGGACTGTTTATGGGTTAAAATTTATTTGTATTTTTTTTGTTTTTTTATTAACACATCAGCCGTCTCCCACCAAGGCAGGGTGACCCAAAAAAGAAAAACTTTCATCATTATTCACTCCATGACTGTATTGCCAGAGGTGCGCTTACACTACAGTTATAAAACTGCAACATTAACACCCCTCTTTAAGAGTTATTCTTTATTTACTGATTTATCATATCGTATTCATGTTCGACTTATGATATTGTCAACTTCTGATGGGTTCTTCAGAACATAACCCCACTGTAAGTTGAGAACCTCCTGTACACATTTTACTACAACATACCTGGTTAAAAGTACTTGGATCTGCCACTACATAGAAAGACACATATTTAATGGCACTGAAGTCAACATTCTTCTCACACACATCAGTAACATTATGGAAGACTCGATTACACGAAGAATGAATGTCTTCGAGGAAACGTAAATATTCGTGTGTTTCGCATTCACTTCCAAAAAGAGAATCTGGAATCCCTGAAAATAAAAAAAATGTGTAGTATACAGTACCATCAAAACTTGCCTTGGAAATTAATAAGCCTTTTAAAAAAAATTTTTAAGCTGGTCTGCCCATGATAAATCATGTAGTCCCATGGTTGTATATATTGTAATGTATTGAACTGTATTACTGTATCATATTATCTAATTCACTCAATTGGGAAGCAGGTTAGAATCCTTCATCCGTAAATCACTAGTGTCATAAGCCGTAACTAAAATGCCGAGTGTAATGTGCTAGTAACACCTTCTCTTATATACATTACTAAATGTAGAAAGAAAAACTTTCATATCTCTTCTACAGTACAGTGGACCCCCGCATAACGATGGCATCACATAGCGATTATTCCGCATACCGCTTACTTTAATCGCAAAATTTTTGCCGCGCATACCGATTAAAAACCCGCTCACCGATTTTCGTCCGAGACGCGTCCAATGTGCGCCCTCAGCCAGCCTCACATGTGCCGCTCGTGCCATTGTTTACCAGCCAGCCTCCGCGGTAATTTCCAAGCATACACTCGGAATATTTCGTATTATTACAGTGTTTTCGGTGCTGTTTCTGGATAATAAGTGACCATGGGCCCCAAGAAAGCTTCTAGTGCCAACCGTACACCAATAAGGGTGAGAATTCCCATTGAAATGAAGAAAGAGATCATTGATAAGTATGAAAGTGGAGTGCGTATCGCCGACCTAGTCAAGTTGTACAAGAAACCCCAATCAACCATCGCTACTATTGTGGGCCCCAAAAAGAAATCAAGGAAGCTGTTCTTGCCAAAGGTTTAACTGTGTTTTCGAAAAAAAGGGATCGCAAGTGATGGAAGATGTTGAGAGACTCTTATTGGTGTGGATAAATGAAAAACAGCTAGCAGGAGATAGCGTCTCTCAAGCGATCATATGTGAAAAGGCTAGGAAGTTGCATGAGGATTTAATTAAAAAAATGCCTGCAACTAGTGATGTTTTGTGAGTGAATTTAAGGCCAGCAAAGGTTGGTTTGAGAGATTTAAGAAGCTTTAGTGGCATCCATAGTGTGATAAGGCATGGTGAGGCTGCCAGTTCGGACCACAAAGCGGCTGAAAAATATGTGCAGGAATTCAAAGAGTACATAGACAGTGAAGGACTGAAACCTGAACAAGTGTTTAATTGTGATGAAACAGGCCTGTTCTGGAAGAAAATGCCAGCGGGGACCTACATTACTCAGGGGGAAAAGGCACCCCCAGGACATAAGCCTATGAAAGACAGGCTTACTCTTCTCATGTGTGCCAATGCTACTGGTGATTCCCAAAGTGAAGCCTTTATTAGTGTATCACTCTGAAACTCCCAGAGCGTTCAGGCAAAAGAATGTCCTCAAGGTAATTTTGTGTGCTGTGGAGGGCAAACAGTAAGGCATGGGTCACTAGGGAATTTTTCTATAACTGGTTACACCATGCATTTGCCCCCAATGTGAAAGATTACCTAACTGAAAAGAAAATTAGAACTTAAGTGCCTCCTGGTGTTAGACAATCCCCCTGGTCTTTCCTACAGACGTGGCAGAGCGACTTTAGGGGGACATGAGCTTCATTAAGGTGAAAGTTTTTGCCCCCTAATACCACTCCTCTCCTGCAGCCCATGGACCAGCAGGTTATTTCCAACTTCAAGAAACTGTACACAAAAGCTCTGTTTGAAAGGTGCTTTGTAGTGACCTCAGAAACTCAACTGACTCTAAGAGAGTTTTGGAGAGATCACTTTAAAATCCTCAATTGTGGGAAACCTTATAGGTAAGGCTTGGGAGGGAGTGACTAAGAAGACCTTGAACTCTGCTTGGAAGAAACTGTGGCCAGAATGTGTAGACAAAAGGTATTTTGAAGGGTTTGAGGCTAACCCTGAGATGATTATGCCAGTTGAGGAATCCCTTGTGGCATTTGGGAAAGTCCTTGGGGTTGGAGGGGTTTGTGGGGAGGATGTGGAAAAAGTTGGTGGAGGAGGACAATGGAAAAAACTAACCACTGATGAGCTGATAGATTTAACTTCAAGAGCAAGAGGCCAGACCTGGGGGAAACTGGTTCAGAGGAGGGGGGGAGAGAAATTGAAGAAGTTGCCTACTACAAAGATTAAGGAAATCTGGCAAAGTGGCTTGAAGTGCAAACCTTCATGGATTTAAAATCACCCCCACACAGCTATTGCAAGCCGTGTGGTTTTTACACTGACAATGTTGTGAAAACTTTTGGCAAGTCATAAAGGAACGAGAGGTACAGGGGCCCCTAGGACAGATATCTTGTGCGAAAAAAGTCCAGTGACTCTGAAGCTGGCCCTAGTGGCATTAAAAGAAGAAGGGAAGTAACCCCAGAAAAGGACTTGCTACCTCAAGTCCTAATGGAAGGGGATTCCCCTTCTAAACACTAACACTCTCTCTCCCCTCCTCCCATCCCATCAATCATCACCAGATCTTCAATAAAAGTAAGTGTCATGTAAGTGTGCATGCCTTTTTCAGTTTGTGTGTATTAAAATTAACATTTCATGTGGTAAAAAAATTTTTTTTTCATACTTTTGGGTGTCTTGCACGGATTAATTTTATTTCCATTATTTCTTATGGGGAAAATTCATTCACATAACGATTATTTCGCATAACAATTACCCCTCTTGCATGGATTAAAATCGTTAACCGGGGGTCCACTGTATATGGGTAATGTAGTCAATATGTGATAAAATACTGTTAGGACAAAAGAAAGTAAAGTGGTACCCTGAGTGTCGTACGGCTCCCAACTTGAACAATTATGTAAGTGTATTTATGTAAGTGTGTTTGTACGTATATGTTTGGGGGTCTGAAATGGACTAATCTAATTCACAATATTCCTTATGGGAACAAATTCATTCAGTAATGGCACCTGAACAAACTTCTGGAATGAAATAATATCGTAAACTGGGGGTCCACTGTACAGTGGTACCCTGAGTTTCGTACAGCTCCCAACTCAAACAATTATGTAAGTGTATTTTTGTAAGTGCTTATGTAAGTGTATTTTTGGGGTCTGAAATGGACTAATCTAATTTACATTATTCCTTATGGGAACAAATTCATTCGGTAACAGCACTGGAACAGCCTTCTGGAACGACTTATGGCTGAAACTCAGGGTACCACTGTAACTAGCATGCTGTGCATTTCAGACTGACAAAATAAAAAATACCTTCGATGAGTAAATATAAAAAAATCCTAAATTCAGATAAATCAAGGAATGGGTCGAGTCTTGAAACCCGGCAAGTGAGCTTTAACCCGTAAACGGTCCCAGCAGATCTACGTTCACATGTGTAGCGCTACAAAAGTAGATCTATGTTTTTTTTACATATTTTCAAATATAACAAAAAAAAAATAGATCAAAGTTTTTTACACATTTTCAAATGTAAAAAAAAAAAAAAATCTACTTTTTTTTACATACTTTAAAATGTTGAAAAAACATATATATACGTTTGGACCGTTTACGGGTTAAAAATTCATTTACAGAAGCTATAAATTTTATTTTTCAGAAATCAAATTAAAGAAAAATACGCTAAATAAGGCGGTTTTTCAAAGAAATTTCTCACTCTTAAGGAGCCAAAATAAAAGTTGCAGAGCAGTATTAACCCTTAAACGGTCCAAACGTATATATACGTTTTTTCAACATCTGAAAGTAAAAAAAACTTTTATCTACATTTTTTTTTGTTATATTTGAAAATATGTAAAAAAACGTAGATCTACTTTTGTAGCTGCGAATTTTAACGCCGATTTGTTTGGACCGTTTAAGGTTAATGAATCCCTTCAAGCTGGTAAAATTTATATACAACACAAAATAATGTAGTAATTTTTAGCAGTGGAGACTGAAAATCAAAAGTGAGACAACTATGTATTATAATAATAATAATCTTTTGTTTTTCTTTTTAGGTCACCCAGCCAAGGTGGGATATGGCTAGTTCATTAAAAAAAATAATAATAATGATAATAGCCAGGAGCAAGGGGCTACTAACCCCTTCTGTACAAATGGGAAGTATAATGTTGCCTGCACTTTAAAGGACGGGTTCGGGATATTGGCAGTTTGGAGGGATATGTTGTGTATCTTTATATGTGTATGCTTCTAAACTGTTGTATTCTGAGCACCTCTGCAAAAACAGTGATAATGTGTGAGTGTGGTGAAAGTGTTGAATGATGATGAAAGTATTTTCTTTTTGGGGATTTTCTTTCTTTTTTGGATCACCCTGCCTCGGTGGGTCACCCTGCCTCGGTGGGTCACCCTGCCTCGGTGGGTCACCCTGCCTCGGTGGGTCACCCTGCCTCGGTGGGTCACCCTGCCTAGGTGGGTCACCCTGCCTCGGTGGTCACCCTGCCTCGGTGGGTCACCCTGCCTCGGTGGGTCACCCTGCCTCGGTGGGTCACCCTGCCTCGGTGGGTCACCCTGCCTCGGTGGGTCACCCTGCCTCGGTGGGTCACCCTGCCTCGGTGGGTCACCCTGCCTCGGTGGGTCACCCTGCCTCGGTGGGAGATGGCCGACTTGTTGAAAAAAAAAAAATATGAAGACTTTTGTTTTTCTTTTTAGGTGACCCTTCCTTGGTGGGTAATAGCTAATGTGTTAAAAAATATAATAATAATTAATAATAATAATAATTTGGGATTATATAATTTTTGTGTCTGCTTTTTTTTTGAGACATATGCCTCAGTGGGAGACGGCCAACTTGTTGAAAAAAAAAAAAAATGCAAGTATTTGCACATCAAATCACAAATACAACAACTACAATAAAAAAAGAACACAAATAAATAATTTGTGTTTTTTAATCACTTACCAAGACTAAAGAGAACTCCTCGCTCGCTCACAGCCCAGACAGCCGAGCCTACAGAGTACGGAGCCTCATTAAACTGTAGAGGCTGGACTGTGTCTTCCCAGGAATAATGCCGTTTACCCTTTTCCAGCTGCATATATTCATCTATTGATGTTGCTCCCTATGCAGAGAAAAGCCATTACTATTCAACTACAGTGGACCCCCGCATAACGATCACCTCTGAATGCGACCAATTATGTAAGTGTATTTATGAAAGGGGCGTTTGTTGTGTAGTTTGGGGGGGCTAAAATGGATAATCTATTTCACTATTCCTTAGGGAACAAATTCGTTCAATACTGGCACCTGAACATACTTCTGGAGTGAAAAAATATCGTTAACCGGGGGTCCACTGTATAAAGAATAAGAAGACGCACAATACTGACTGGAACAGCACAGAAATATGTATAATGAATAGGGGAAAATTAAACTGCTTTAAATTGTTTTTAAAAAAGCTCACTAAGTCTCTAGAAAATAGATTATATTTTATTTTTGTCTATTGCCCTTTTTGGAAAAGGGGAACAAAGTTTGGGGGGGAAGGGAACAAAAATAAAAGAGGAGGGGGAAAAAAAAAAAATAATTTTTAAAAATTTTTTAATTGTATAAAATATAGGGGTAATTTTTTTTAGAAAATAGTGAAATAAGGAGAGGGGGGAATGAGGTGCGGGAACTTTCATAAAATAATCTGCAGAGTAGAGTCCCAAAAAAATATTGTTTTGGGAAAGACATTCTCCCAACCCTTCACAGTAAAATTAAGTTGTGTGTTTGGTAGATTGTCGTTACGATCCCAAGGTCCATTCTGAAAGTATTTATTTTGTACTCGTGTGATTACTAAAGATAATCTGGTTCTGGAAGCGGAGCGTGTATCTAGGATGAGAAATGCTTTAAGTTACCAGTTTGAACTAAAATTAATTTAAAAAAGTAAAAGAAGGGGGGGGCAGGAGGCAGGGAAGGCGTTCAATTGGTTACAGTTGGGCCCCTTTACAGAATTCTTTTGGGATGATGAGCTGTTGGAGTGTGAGCAGGGTAATATTTTGTGAAGGGTTCAGGGAAAACTGTTAGTTTGGGTCGAGTCCTGGAGGGTAAGAAGTAAAATGCCCGCACTTTAAAGGGGGGTTTGGGTACTGGTGTTTAGAATGACATCTACACTATCTATCTGGACACTTTTGCAAGGGAGGGGTGTGTGTTAAAATTTGGGGAGAGTATTTCTTTCTTTTTGGATCCCCTTTCCCGGTGGGGTGCCGACATGTTGAAAAAAAAAGTATTGCTTTCGAACCTTCTTCTTAAAGGCCCGGGTTAGCCTAGATGGTAGAGCGTTGGGCTGTCAAGTTACAAACTCGGTTCAAGCCCCCCATCCACCCTTATTTATTCATAAATGTTTCAATTAAACCGGTCTCCAATCAAAATGCTCCCAAATTACACACATCGACACTAACAAATAGGACATTTAAACATAAAAGTTTTGCAATGAACGAGATGTGGTACAATAGTTACCATCACATCTGAAGCATAACCAGCCTTTATTCTGTTATTTTCTACACAAACTCATTTACAATACACAGATAGCCTGCAAACTGAGAGAAGCTCTCTCCTATGTGTGGCTTATTTGTGTATTGTTCCAGTCACGATATTGTGACTTTTTCTTCTTTACTCATTTATAAGTTTAAAAACCTGGAATGTGATTCATTGTTAAGTTCAGGCCCTCCTGAAAAATATTGTACATACAGTGTACCGTATGTATGGGCTTTGATGAACCAATACAGTAGTGCCCCTGCATCCGCAGGGGATACATTCGAAGACCTACCATGGATAGTAGTGAACACTGTATTTAAGCCATTTTTCAATTACATACATACCTATGATAAAGTATAATTGATAAATTATTCAAGGTAAGTCTAGAATTATCACTTTTTCACTGATGGGAAGCACTTGACGGTTTCTCTTAGACTTTGAACAACGCCACCATCACTACTTTTGTGCTTTTGGTGCCATTATTAGGAAAAATTAACTGTTATTTTTGTGCCAAAGTAAACCACGGATAACTGAAGCCGCAGATACAGAATCCGCGGATATGAAGGTCCTAGTGCAGCTTCAAGACCTCCCTAACACCTTCAGCCTAGACTACTGTTTTCTATCAATGTTCATTTTTTATCGAGTCCTCCAGTTTGAAACAGCACTTAACCCTTAAATGGTCCAAACGTATATATATGTTTTTTCAACATCTGAAAGTATGTAAAAAATGTAGATCTTTTTTTTTTGTTTTACATGTGAAAACGTGTAAAAAAACTTTTATCTACATTTTTTTTGTTATATTTGAAAATATGTAAAAAAAAGTAGATCTACTTTTGTAGCTGCGAATTTGAACGTCGATCTGTTTGGACCGTTTAAGGGTTAAAATAAACACAGAAGATAATACAGTGGAACCTCAAATATAGAACTTTCTTCAGTCCAGAAGGCTGTTCAAGTGTCGCTACCGAACGAATTTATTCCCATCAGGAATAATGTAAATTAGAGTAGTCCATTTCAGACCCTCAAAAATACACAATCTTACAAAAATACACTTACATAATTGGTTGAGTTGGGAGCAGTTCAATTTTTGAGGTTCCACTGTAATGTTTTCTATGTTGCTGAAAGCTCTGATAGGGAGCAAAGGAGAAGATAAACAGATGACTTACTGAACAAACAACAATCTAACAATCTATTTCACGTTTCAGAGGATTTTACTGGCAAATACAAAAACAAAAATATTTAGGTCTTCACTTTAATATTAAATATGAAATCTTTGTAAGTTTTACATAGTAAAAGAAATATTAGCTGTATGTTAATATTTCTCTTTTAAAATGTACAGTGGTCCCTCGTTGTTCGTAATTAATCCGTTCCTGGAGCCGTTACTATAAACGAAATTTACGATTTACGAATCAATTTTCCCCATAAGAAATAATGTAAATACAATTAATCCGTTCCTGACACCCAGAAGTATTAAAACAAAAAAATTTTTAACATGAAATATACATGTAGTACATAAACAATACAATGGGAAATGATGAATGAAACATTAACAGCATAACACTTACCTTTATTGGAGATTCTTCTTAGTGTATGGGAGACTGGAGGAGGAGAGAGAGTGGATTGTTTATAGTTTGGAAGGGGAATCCCCTTCCATCAACACCTCAGGTACCAATTGCTTTTCTGGGGTTACTTCTCTTCTCTGTTTCTTAATGCCACTAGGACCAGCTTGAGAGTCACTGGAGTCCTGTCTCCCTAAAATGGCCCAAGACTTTGTCACTGTACATGTTGCCAACCTGGCTTGCAACAACCTTGTTAGGGTGATGTTTCTACATAAAGCTTTCCATCTTACCCCCACATAGTAAAAATCTCTTTAATTTCTGAAGAAGGCACCTTCTTCCATCTCTCTTCCTCCTCTTCAGCAAGATTCTGAGCTGCAATGTGTTGCTCTTCCTGCTGAAGCTCTTGCAGCTCCTCAGTGGTGAGCTCTTCATTGTGGTCTTCCACCAATTCTTCCACATCCTCCAAACTCACATCCAACCCCATGGAACTCCCCAGTGCCACAACTGATTTTACAACAGACAGGCTCATTAGGGTCAGTCCCAAATTCTTCAAAATCCCTCTTGTCGACACAATCTGGCCACAATTTTCTCCAGGCAGAGTTCAAAGTCCTGGTAGTCACTCCCTCCCAAGCCATACCTATAAGGGTTATGCAGTGGAGGATGCTGAAGTGTTCTCTCCAAAATTCCCTTAGGGTCAAGTGAGTGTCTGTGGTCACAGTCAAGCACCTGTGAAACATTGCTTTTGTGTAGAGTTTTTTAAAGTTTGCAATAACCTGCTGGTCCATGGGTTGGAGGAGAGGAGTGGTATTTGGGGGCAAGAACTTTACTGTGATGAACCCAAACTCCTCGAAAAAATTTAAATCATCCAAGTTTGGAGGATGAGCAGGTGCATTGTCCATTACTAGCAGGCACTTGAGATCCAATTTCTTTTCCAGGAGATACTCCTTCACACTAGGGCCAAACACTTCATTGAACCACTTGACGAAAATTTCCCTCGTGACTCATGCCTTACTATTAGATTTCCAAAACACACACAATTTACTCTTCATAACATTGTTTTTCCTGAACACTCTGGGATTTTCAGAATGGTACACTAGTAAAAGGCTTCACTTTGAAATCCCCACTAGCATTAGCACAGAACATTAGCGTCAGCCTGTCTTTCATAGGCTTGTGTCCTGGCATTGCCTTTTCCTCTTGTGTAATGAAGGTCCTCTTTGGCATTTTCTTCCAAAAGAGGCCTGTTTCGTCACAATTGAACACTTGTTCAGGTTTCAGTCCTTCAGCCTCTATGTACTCCTGGAATTCATGCACATATTTTTCAGCCGCCTTGTGATCCGAACTGGCAGCCTCACCATGCCTTACCACACTGTGTATGCCAGTACGGTTCTTAAATCTCTCAAACCAGCCTTTGCTGACCTTAAATTCACTCACTTCACCACTATTTGCAGGCAATTTCTTTACCAAATCTTCATGCAACTGCCTAGCCTTTTCACAAATAAACAAAGTCATAAGAGTATCTCCTGCTAATTGTTTCTCATTTATCCACACCAATAATAACTTCTCAACCTCTTCCAGTACTGGTGATCTCATTTTTGCCAGCATAGTTACTCCCTTTGCAACAACAGCATCCTTTATTTCATTTTTCTTGGCCACTATGGAACATAAGGTTGTGTAGAGTTTCTTATACATCCTGGACAGTTCGGCCGCACTTGTACCACTTTCATATTGTTCAATGATGGTTTTCTTAAATTCAATCGTATTTCTCACCTTCTTTACCACAGGCTTGGCACTAGGAGCTTTCTTTGGAGCCATGGTAGCTTATTTAGTACTTGCAAGCACTAAAATAAATGGAATATTATGAAATATTTCGCTGGAGCACATGAGGGGACCTTCGCTCACTGGTAAACAATGCCAGACTGGCTGCCACCCTGGCTCACACTGTGGGTACGCGTCCCGGACGAACTACGACTCGCGAGTCAACCTATGAAAAGCGAGTCCATGTTTATATGAAAATACCTCTATGATTGGCGAATTTTACGATTGCCGGGAACTACGAAAAACGGGGGACCACTGTAATTGTACTTTTCTAATGGTAAAAACTCTAAAACTGTCTGGGTTTAACCTTTAAACTGTCCAAACGTAGATCTACGTCCAAGTGCAGGGGGCTCCAAACGTAGATCTACGTCCAAGTGCAGGGGGCTCCAAACGTAGATCTACGTCCAAGTGCAGGGGGCTCCAAACGTAGATCTACCTTTTTTTTTTTTTTGCATGCTTTTTTTTTTTACATGCGCTACACACGTGAACGTAGATCTATGTTTGGACAGTTTAAGGGTTAAATCAGGGCTGTGGAGTCGGCACATAAAACCTTCGACTCTGACTCCTTTATTTATGACACCTCCGATTCTGACTCCAACTCCTTTGATTACATTTTACTGACTCCAAATGCAACACCAATAACCCAAGAATTGCTTCCGACCCCAACTCCAACTATGACTCCAGTAACCCAAGAACTGCTTCGGACCCCGACTCCATCTCCACGACTCCAACTACGACTCCAGTAACCCAAGAACTGCCTCCACCTCTGACTCCAACTCCACAGCCCTGGTTTAAATTAGCACTCACCTAAAACGTTCTGAGGCCGCATCTGGCAGTGAGAGAATACTCTGCGGTCCTCAGTGTTGCAATCTTCATCGCAGCAACAGTTGATATCACAGAATTCAACCTAAAAAAAATTATAAATTATCTTCTGCAATCACAAAATCAACAAAATCACGACTACCATCATCCACAACTGCAAAACCCACAATTTAAATTAAAGAAACTTTTATTCAACATCTCAATCAGTCATGAACCATCATCAAGTCATGAATAAAATAGAAAAATTAAAAAAGCAACAAGAAGTTGGGTCAAATGTTGACTTTTAATCTAAATAGTACGTAAGTACAGGTCGGCCATCACTAATCCGGCATCATTGGGACCTGTAGTGTGCTGGATAAGTGAGTTTGCCGGATTACAGAGTGGTTAGCTTAGAATACACTTAATTAACCTATCAATACTCTTTCTGCTATATCTTCCTCATTTTCATCACTGCTTTCTCCTCCACTGACTTGCTGCTGTGGATTTACAACCATCTGCACAATTTCTAAGGATAACGATTTGAGTCAGTATAATGATGAAATTTGAAATTATGCTAGCTGAAATTAGTGCTAGATTACTGATGGAACCGGATAACTGATTGCCGGATTAGCGATGGCCGACCTATACTCGTCTTACAAACACATTCAGAATATGCACAATACAGTAGGTTGCCAATGTGTTTGTAAGTTGAAAACTTCCCGTACTATGAATCTTTCTTTCAACAAACCGGCCGTATCCCACCAAGGCAGGGTGGCTCAAAAAGAAAAACGAAAGTGTATTATGAATATTATACACAATTTAGGACCCCAATGTGTTTGTAAGTCGAGGATTTATTATACCGTATACCACAACATTAGAACTATTTAATAATTGAAGTGTGATGAACACTTATAGTGTTCAATAATAAGTTACGTGGGGACAGACACTCAGGAGATTGATCTGAAGAGGATCCCAGAAGAGGGTTGAAATATACACATCAATCAATCTTCTGAGTTTCTGTCTCCATTTGCATAATTATTGAACTTAGAATTAATACTGATTACTCCAAAAAAAATTCTTGAAGTTTGTGAAAGATGATATTACAGAGAACACTCCAATTGACAGTTTGAGTTGCTCACCTTAAGATCACAAAGACAAAAGTCACGGACAATGAGATTGTTTTCATAGGGTGAGCTTGGGGTGGTGGGGACCTCCGTTGTAGGCAGGGTAGTAGTCTCATTTGGCATCTCAGTCAGAGTGTTATTACTGTTAAACTCATAATCAATCGAACTTTCATTACCAGGCATTATCAGCGTCTCATTAACATCAGCTTGCAATGGATCTTCCTGCACTGTGTCACCGACACCAACAGCACTTTCAGACAACGAATATTCTTTCCCATTTACAGAAGAACTTTCGTTTACAGGACTGAGAGTGCTCGTAACATTCTCCACATCTCTGTAAGTTCTTTTCAGACTGGAAATTTCCTTCTCACTATAAAAAGGTTCAATATAGAAAACACTCAATATGAAACTCCAATAGAGATATCTGGATAACATGTTTTCTGTTGTACTGGATATATTACATATACTGGAAGGTTGAATGTTCATAAAATAGTATCATACACTTTTAATCAAAGAATTTTATTAAGACATCACACCATATTTTTCAAAATTTCTCAGGATGATGCCTAACTCAAAATGGACCTGAAAAAAAATATAAAAACAATTCATTTGAATATCATTTGAAGTAGAAAATTTTAATTTTTTTTTAATATGCTGGCCATCTCCCACTGAGGCAGGATGACCAGAAAAAGAAACACTTTCATCGTCATTCACACTATCACTGTCATGCCAGAGGCGCACAGATACGACAGCTCAAATGCAGCCACGGTACGTCCCACCTGCAGGACTCAAGTCCAGCTAACTAGTTTAACTAGTAAGTAAGTAAGTTTATTCAGGTATACACAAATACAGTTACATAGAATTATCATACATAGCAGCATATGTGTAGAGAACCTGGGATAACACAAAAAAGTCAGACAGAGTGACTTATTTCCATTGGGGTCCTTTTACCTTATTATTATAATATAAAGGTTATAATATTTTCTTATTATTCTATACATTGGTTCCTTTTGAGAAAGAGGGATTAGTCTGGAACTAAAGAATGATCTAAACTCAATTCAGTAGAACCCCCATATCCATGGATTTGTTATCAGATTAGGAACCTGTACATCTAACTTTATATCCAAAGGAACTCCAAAAGAATTTATTCCAATGTTAAAAAGAAATACATATAATTATATTTCAACATATCGATCATTTCCCACCAAGGCAGAGTGGCCTCGAAAAAGGAGAAACACTTTCATCATCACTCACTCCACACTCACACTCACACTCACTCCACCTCACACTCATCCACATCAACCACACCATCCCACTCACTCACTCCCACTCACCTCCCACTCACTCCACACTCACACTCACTCCACACTCACACTCACACCACTCCCCTCCACACTCACACTCACTCCACACTCACCCCTCCACACTCCACTCACACTCACACTCCACACTCACACCCCTCCCCACCACACTACTCACTCACACTCACTCCACTCACCTCACTCCACACTCACCCCACTCCCCACTCACTCCACAAATCACCCCCCCTCACTCCACACTCACACTCACTCCACACTCACACTCACTCCACACTACACTCACACTCACTCCACACTCACACCACTCCACATCACACTCACTCCACACTCACACTCACTCCACACTCACACTCACCCACACTCCACTCACTCCACATCACACTCACTCCACACTCACACTCACTCCACACTCACACTCACTCCACACTCACACTCACACTCACTCCACACTCACACTCACTCCACACTCACACTCACTCCACACTCACACTCACCCACTCACACTCACTCCACACTCACACTCACTCCACACTCACACTCACTCCACACTCACACTCACCCACACACACTCACTCCACACTCACACTCACTCCACACTCACACTCACTCCACACTCACACTCACTCCACACTCACACTCACACTCACTCCACACTCACACTCACTCCACACTCACACTCACTCCACACTCACACTCACCCACACTCACACTCACTCCACACTTACACTCACTCCACACTCACACTCACTCCACACTCACACTCACCCACACACACTCACTCCACACTCACACTCACCCCACACTCACACTCACACTCACTCCACACTCACACTCACTCCACACTCACACTCACTCCACACTCACACTCACTCCACACTCACACTCACCCACACACACTCACTCCACACTCACACTCACTCCACACTCACACTCACTCCACACTCACACTCACTCCACACTCACACTCACACTCACTCCACACTCACACTCACTCCACACTCACACTCACTCCACACTCACACTCACCCACACTCACACTCACCCACACTCACACTCACCCACACTCACATCACCCACACTCACACTCACCCACACTCACACTCACCCACACTCACACTCACTCCACATCACACTCACCCACACTCACACTCACCCACACTCACACTCACCCACACTCACACTCACCCACACTCACACTCACCCACACTCACACTCACCCATACTCACACTCACCCACACTCACACTCACCCACACTCACACTCACCCACACTCACACTCACCCATACTCACACTCACCCACACTCACACTCACCCACACTCACACTCACCCACACTCACACTCACCCACACTCACACTCACCCACACTCACACTCACCCACACTGCAGTTCAAAAAACCTCACACACACACAAAAGGCTTTACAACACAAAAATAACAAAAGGCTTGCACATTCCGCCAATTACTCACCGAACCAGACGCTACTGTGAGGAGCCTATAGCGTTCGAGTGCAGAATGTATGAACTCTGTGGAGAGTAGCTGTGGTCCGCCTCCTAAAAATGCCCTTCTTAATTCCTCCGCAAATGTTCCTGAGAGTAAAAATATTATTTTACCACCCGGTATAAATGTAAATTTTACCACCAGGTATAAAAATTAACTGAAATAAATAGTGAAGAAAAGAGTAAGCTTTTATTAACAAGGTTTTGTTCTAAATAAAACTATGACCCGTATGGGATTAGCGCCAGTCCGACACCTCGGACTTACGACGGGCTCTCTGACCAGTACATATACCTAAGTAATGTATATATTAGTGCTGATTTCCTCTATTCTGGCAATATAAACACAAATGCAGTATAATGTGATCAGAAACTCAAGACTTATCGCCACAGAAGACAACACTCAATACCGAAGAATCCTGGAATCATCACTTATTTCTATATCCGACAACTTCAACCAGAATAGTGGCTTCTATAACATAGCTGAACCACTTGCCAAGAAACTTGTTCATCGCTATCCCACATAAGAACACTGTAGAAGGTCTGCTCACAAACTTATCCAATCTCCTTTCCAAGCTACCCAAGTTTTTAGACTCTATAACCCCACCTGGTAGATCATCAGATGCAGCATTCTTCACCTGACCTCAGCATTCTGAACCTGACTATAAATACTCGCGTTCCTTCCACCCCAGGTAGTTCTGTTTGTGACTTGAAAAAGCCCACTGTGTGGGCGAAACGTAGTCAATAAAGGATCACATTATACTGCATTTGTGTTTATATTGCCATTGTGTCGGTATTTTATACCATTTATTTCCTCTATTCTGTTTATTACAATATACAGTACACTACTGTATAAACATTTAAAAATATACCAGAAATGTTATAAATGTTGTAAATGTGACATTAAAACAATATCAAAGATGGTTGACACAAACTCACTACCATTATAGCATGATCCTCATTTAGCCACGAATTTGCTTACCGACGTGGTCATTCTGAGAAATGCCACTACTGACCTGTCCCTTGGGTATAACCTACTTCCACTGGGGAATCCCAGTGGAAGTAGGTCATACCCGAATGATCTACCAGTGTCAATGTCACTGGTATGACCTACCAATGGCATTGTCACTCGTAGGTGACACTGTCACAGCCCTCACCTGACACCAGTATATATGCACCAGCTAACCTCGTCTGTGCTTCAGATAAGACTACGGTGATCTTCACCAACCCCAAGACTGAGGGAGTGATTACCTCATGTTTTGTATATAGTTCTACTGTCTTCCAGTTATGTCCTTGAATTTGTATTGATAAAGCCACTGGATGGCGAAACGTCTACAATAAAGATACCCAGATGTTGCACGTGTCTAATTTTCCACTTGTTGGTATTTTATACCATTCAATTACTTTGGAGATGAAAATTAAGATAATTACCCAACATGAAGGCAGTAAAATCCCTAACTTGTATTCATTTAATTACTTTTCAGTACTGGTATTTAGTTACAGTAATTATTTCTTTATTCAACAATTTACTTATTTATTTATCATACATTCATATCTGACTCAAGATATTTTCAACTTACAAAGGATTCGTCAGAATGTAACCCCAGTGTAAGTCAAGGACCACCTGTATATGAGAATAAGAATACAGTGTAACCTTGTTTTTTTTTTTTTTATTTATTATCACACTGGCCGATTCCCACCAAGGCAGGGTGGCCACCAAGGCAGGGTGGCCACCAAGGCAGGGTGGCCCACCAAGGCAGGGTGGCCACCAAGGCAGGGTGGCCACCAAGGCAGGGTGGCCCGAAAAAGAAAAACTTTCACCATCATTCACTCCATCACTGTCTTGCCAGAAGGGTGCTTTACACTACAGTTTTCAAACTGCAACATTAACACCCCTCCTTCAGAGTGCAGGCACTGTACTTCCCATCTCCAGGACTCAAGTCCGGCCTGCCGGTTTCCCTGAACCCCTTCATAAATGTTACTTTGCTCACACTCCAACAGCACATCAAGTATTAAAAACCATTTGTCTCCATTCACTCCTATCAAACACGCTCACACATGCCTGCTGGTATGCGACCTTAATTCATTCCAGAAGGCTGTTTGAGTGCCACTCCCTTTGAGTATCGAACAAGCTCTTCCCAACCATTTTCTGTTTGGTTGGCTGTTATCACTAATCTTCGTAGGCCCCATGATGACTTATTTATACAAATAATAAAAAAACACCAAAAAATGTGAAGAAACACGAAATAGTTTACAGTGAAGTTCTGGCAGGTTGTGTTTGGTCGAGTGCTGAGCTTTGTTTGAGTAGGGAGCTGTTTGCGTACCAAGGTTCCACTGTTTTTAGTAATTCAATAAAATATTATAATTAGTGATATATTAAGGAAGAAGCTAGGTACATGAGATGAAGTAATGATAGACAAGGAGAGAAGCAATACAGGTTGAAAGAAATGTTTAGCATAATAAACTGTTAGGATCACATAATGAAAATCTTCAATATTCTTTGCAAACCGATCACATATAGTGACAGTAACTGGCACGTACAGATTTACCAATCCTAGGTAGTAGGTTGGTAGATAGCAGCCGCCCAGGGAGGTACTACCGTCCTGTGGTAGTAGGTTGGTAGACAACAACCACCTAGGGAGGTACTACCATCCTGTGGCAGTAGATTGGTAGACAACAACCACCCAGGGAATTACTAAAGTCCTGTGGTAGTAGGTTGGTAGACAACAACCACCCAGGGAGGTACTACCATCCTGTGGAAGTAGGTTGGTAGACAACAACCACCCAGGGAGGTACTACCATCCTGTGGTAGTAGGTTGGTAGACAACAACCACCCAGGGAGGTACTACCATCCTGTGGTAGTAGGTTGGTAGACAACAACTGTCCAGGGAGGTACTACCATCCTGTGGTAGTAGGTTGGTAGACAACAACCACCCAGGGAGGTACTACCGTCCTGTGGTAGTTGGTTGGTAGACAACAACCACCCAGGGAGGTACTACCGTCCTGTGGTAGTAGGTTGGTAGACAACAACCACCCAGGGAGGTACTACCGTCCTGTGGTAGTAGGTTGGTAGACAACAACCACCCAGGGAGGTACTACCGTCCTGTGGTAGTAGGTTGGTAGACAACAACCACCCAGGGAGGTACTACCGTCCTGTGGTAGTAGGTTGGTAGACAACAACCACCTAGGGAGGTACTACCATCCTGTGGCAGTAGATTGGTAGACAACAACCACCCAGGGAATTACTAAAGTCCTGTGGTAGTAGGTTGGTAGACAACAACCACCCAGGGAGGTACTACCATCCTGTGGAAGTAGGTTGGTAGACAACAACCACCCAGGGAGGTACTACCATCCTGTGGTAGTAGGTTGGTAGACAACAACCACCCAGGGAGGTACTACCATCCTGTGGTAGTAGGTTGGTAGACAACAACTGTCCAGGGAGGTACTACCATCCTGTGGTAGTAGGTTGGTAGACAACAACCACCCAGGGAGGTACTACCGTCCTGTGGTAGTAGGTTGGTAGAAAACAACCACCCAGGGAGGTACTACCGTCCTGTGGTAGTAGGTTGGTAGACAACAACCACCCAGGGAGGTACTACCATCCTGCCAAGTGAGTGTAAAACAAAAGCCTGTAATTGTTTTACATGATGGTAGGATTGTTGGTGTCTTTTGTTTGTCTCATAAACATGCAAGATTTCAGATATGTCTTGCTACTTCTACTTACACTTAGGTCACACTTCACATACATGTACAAACATATATACACGCACCCCTCTGGGCTTTCTTCTATTTTCTTTCTAGTTCTTGTTCTTGTTTATTTCCTCTTACCTCCATTGGGAAGTGGAACAGAATTCTTCCTCTGTAAGCCATGCATGTTGTAAGAGGCGACTAAAATGTCAGGAGCAAGGGGCTAGTAACCCTTTCTCCTGTATATATTACTAAATGTAAAAGGAGAAACTTTCGTTTTTCCTCTTGGGTCACCCTGCCTCGGTGGGATACTGCCGGTGTGTTGAAAGAAGAAGAAAGAATTACCAATAGAAATAAGACATCACATAATAGCAACTTATCATAAAGCCAGTCTACATAAAGCAAGGGAGAAGAAAAGACAGTCAAAATATCATGACCGTAACAATACGTAAATAACCTGCGTGTTCTGGTCTGAGCTGGACCATCAACAAGTCCCGTACTCATCCAAGTTGGGCCAAAACGTAGTCATAAGTTACTTTCTCTTATGAATGGGATATTTGTGTAAAGCAAGGAAGTCCTATACTATTTATATCAAACAAACTAGCCATATTTACCAACTGGTCTCCATGTATGGCAAGTTACTGTGTGATGTCCAGCTTTCGTAGGTATGTGAATGATGCCGTAACCACATAGATCGATGCGACTGAGGTCATCTTGTCTGTACACCTGTACCATAATTCTGGGCCATCCTGAAAAAAAAATCACATGAGTTGATGATTTATCAAAAATGTTTCATCAAATCTATTGTAAGTGATGATAATACGTAAATAGCTAAATAACCTAGAGATGTGGCAACCCCCTAGACCCATACAGGTCAACAAAAACAAATATGGTTCATACATCTCCATGTTGAAAAAAACAAATATAGTGTCCAGGCAAGTCAAATGTAACAAATACAATGTCCAGACAGATCAAATGCAACAAATACAGTGTCCAGACAGGTCAAATGCAACATATACAGTGTCCAGACAGGTCAAATAAAACAAATACAATACCAGACAGATCAATAAAACAAATAGTGTCCAGATCTTATGTCAAGGTAGAACATTCAATTTTAAGAGTAGATGTTCATGTATCCCGACAAGCAATGGTACAAACGTTACATTTTTCTTCTAATAATATTTCAACCTATTACATGGAAAAGTGGGTTAGAATCCTTCATCCGTACGCTATAAATGTACCATAAGAGGCAACAAAATACATGAGCAAATGCTAGTAACACCTTCTCCTGTAAAAATTACTAAATTGAAAAAAAAAGAAAAACTTCTGTAATTTCTTATTTTTTAGATCACCTGCCTCAGTGGGAGACGACCACTGTGTTGAAAATAAGATCAAACGTAACAGTTCTTAAGAGATATGTAATGCAAAATCTCTTCAGTTTTAAAAATTTCTCCGAGATGAGATCACAGAGTTACAGATTAGTAATACATTATATTTTTGGTATGTTTATGTTGAGAGAAAAAGGCCTGGTCGTGGACCGGGCCGCGGGGGCGCTGATCCCCGGAATAACCTCCAGGTAACCTCCAGGTACTGCACAGTATTTTCCCCCCTGGTATCCCCAGGAGATACCTTCCAAGACCTACAGTGGATACCCGAAACAGTGGATAGTAGCGTACACTACATATGACTTGTTTTTGTTTACATAAATACCAATGATAAAGTTTAATTAATAAATTACACACATTAATAAATTTAATTAATAAATTTAATTAATAAATTACGATCATTTTTTTCACTGATAGGAAGCACTTTACGGCTTCTCCTAGACTTTGAACATCTGTCACCGTCACTACTTTTGTACTTTGGGGTCATTAACCCTTAAACTGTCCAAACAGATCTACGTTCACATGCGGAGCGCTCTAAAAGTAGATGTACGTTTTTTAACATATTTTCAAATACATATAACAAAAAATGTAGATCAATGTTTTTTTTACACGTTTTCAAATGTAAAAAAAAGAAAAAGAAGCACTACGTTTGTTGAAAAATGTTGAAAAAACGTAGATCTACGTTTGGACAGTTTAAGGGTTAAGTAAAATTAAGGGTTATTTTTGAGCCACAGTAAATCATGGATAACTAAAACTATGGAAACCGAACCCACGGATACAGGGGTTCTACTATATAGAGATTTTTACACTTAAAGAGTAATTAAATAATTTTTCAATGTTGGTAATTTATTATCCAGTGTTTTTAATTCAATAAAGAATCATAATAATCAAAATTTATTTCTGTGTGTATACAAACTGCAGTTGATAGTAAATCGCAAACATAATTGCTAACAAATTTTAACTAACCTTTGCCTCGGCTACGTAAAAAACTCCCTAACGATTTCTTGGTACATAACGTTAGGTGAGGGTCCTGTATTAAGTTAAAATTTCTACATACATAATTTAAGCATTAATATTTCTTATGAAAAAAGTACAGTAGGACCACCGTATCCATGGATTCGTATCTGTGGTTTTGGTTATCTGTACTTTACTGTAGCCTAAAACTAGAAATTTTGTTTAATAATGGCACCAGAGTGCAAAAGTAGTGATGGCGGCAGTTCTTTGTAGCCAAAGAGTAGCCGTAAAGTGCTTCCCATCAGTGAAAAAGCGATAATTCAAGATTTACTGTGCGTAATTTATCAATTATACATTATCATAGGTATGTATGTGCCTGCACTTTAAAGGACGGGTTCAGGATACTGGCAGTTTGGAGGGATACGTTGTGTATCTTTATACGTATATACAGTGGACCCCCGGTTAACGATATTTTTTCACTCCAGAAGTATGTTCAGGTGCCAGTATTGAACGAATTTGTTCCCATAAGGAATATTGTGAAGTAGATTAGTCCATTTCAGACCCCCAAACATACACGTACAAACGCACTTACATAAATACACTTACATAATTGGTTGCATTCGGAGGTGATCGTTATGCGGGGGTCCACTGTACTTCTAAACTGTTGTATTCTGAGCACCTCTGCAAAAACAGTGATTATGTGTGAGTGAGGTGAAAGTGTTGAATGATAATGAAAGTATTTTCTTTTTGGGGATTTTCTTTCTTTTTGGGTCACCCTGCCTTGGTGGGTCACCCTGCCTCGGTGGGTCACCCTGCCTCGGTGGGTCACCCTGCCTCGGTGGGTCACCCTGCCTCGGTGGGTCACCCTGCCTCGGTGGGTCACCCTGCCTCGGTGGGTCACCCTGCCTCAGTGAGAGACAGCCGACTTATTAAAAAAAAAAAAAGTATGTAAATGAAAAACATTTTGTATACTACAGAAAAGAAATAAAGCTTTATTGCACTGTATTTTTAACAAGTTGGCTGTCTCTCACTGAGGCAGGGTGACCCAAAAAAGAAACAATTTCACCATCATTCTCACTATCACTGTCTTGCCAGAGGCGCACGGATACGGCAATATTGTATTGTATAAAACGTAATACCTTGAATCCCGCGAGTAGCGAGGTGAATGTCCAGAGGATGACACCAGCTGACTGTATCACTCACTTCTGACTGATCTGCTTGAGTCTGTCCTTCTACAAGACCCTCCACCACTCTCCAGCCACCACCTGAAAAATAATCAGGAAATGAATCAATATATACATTTATTTGCATCTTTGAGCCCTTGTTTTCTATGGTAATTTTCCACTCTTCAGGGTGTGAAATGCTCTGCATAACCACTGGCTTTCTGCATGCATAACCAAATGTCACCAGGGAAGGATATACTATGAAACTAATTAAGCTTAAGCTTGAGGGCCCCTAATCCTGGAGGGGCCCCAGAAGTGACTTTAGTCCACATTGCTTAAAAATTTTGGGTCAATTGTATGAGAAGGTGTTGCAAAGGGGCCCCCATAACAGTTCAAGCTTCAGGGCCCCAAAACTGTAGGTCCACCACTGAATGTCACCCATTTCTGTACAAATATTATCACGTGGAAATAATTCTTTCCCTTTGACATGAAGCATAATTTCCCATGGGCATCTTAACCCTTTGACTGTTTTCGACGTATAAATACGTCTTACGAGCCAATGTTTCTGACGTATATATACTCAATAATTCTAGCGGCTTCAAATCAAGTGGGAGAAAGCTGGTAGGCCCACATGTGAGAGAATGGGTCTGTGTGGTCAGTGTGCACCACATAAAAAAAATCCTGCAGCACACATTGCGTAATGAGAAAAAAAAAACTCTGATCGTTTTTTTGGAATAAAACGCCGACTTTGAGGTGTATTTTTGTATAGTATTTATCGTTGTATTCGCGTTTTCATGGTCTTACGTGATAAATGGAAAAAACATATTACAGAAAATAGAGATGATTTTCATTACTTTTACGATGAAAACGACCTTGAAACTGAGCTCAAAGTAGCGGAAATGTTCGATTTTTACCAATGTTCAAGAGTACATAAATCACACCACACGTCCAATACACGTCAACTGGGGAGTCTAATATTCTTTCACTAGTGCACTGATATTATTTATACCATTTTTACAATAATGCAGTCGTCTGCATAACAGTAAATTTTGTATTTTTTTGTATGAATAAAAAATCAAAATAGAAAGCAATAATAATATAAGAGGGGCCTAGAGATGTGACTAATGACCAGAGCATATGTTATTTTAGTGCCACGAATGTCTACCTTGTTTATTCTGGACCCTATTTTGAAATTGGCATCTTTTTTATTTTGCGTGAAATTGGCCAAATTGCCAATTTCTGACCACCATACTGGGTAGTCCAAATTAGTAAATGGGAGGTTTCTTGTACTCAGCTGATAGATAAAATGGAGTTCTAAAGAAATAGCTATGAGTTTGGTCAACTGGAACAAGGGAAATTTGGGCTGAAAAATGGGCTCAAAGTCGGCGAAATCGCCGATACGCATATGTCGCCGAGACCGCTAACTTCGCGGGAGCATAATTCTACGAGTTTTCGACCAAATTTCGAACTTTTGGTGTCATTACCATCGGGAAAAGATTCTCTATCATTTCATAAGAAAAAATTTTTTTTTTTTTTTTCAAAAATTGAGCGACATAGAATGACAGTTTCAGAGAGGGGCCTGAAACAGTCAAAGGGTTAAATCTCTTAACGTATTAGAGATGTGAATGAACACAACACTCAATCATCCTTCAACCTTATCAACACAATACAAAATTAACTTCTGTAATACATATAGTGTCCTATATTACATTTCTGAAAACTATATCTCCAGATGGGACATGATCCATACAGGTTTAGCACCTCGCCTTGAATAAAGCAGCAATAATTAATACCGTAGTTATTAAATTTCAGTCTTGGGAGTAAACCATGGGCTCCTATGATGCTTTCCCAGCTGTTTCCTTTACCAATTATTTACTGGCTCATGAAATCATAATGATATGATTGCAAACAAACCATACCATGGGCGGGGATAGAACTCATGGGTTCTATCCCTGCCCGTGGTATGGTTCAGTTTTTTACTGGCTGTCAACAACTGACCACAAGAGGCCTATGAGTGCAACATGAGAGCATCAGCATTAGGAGAGGAGCAGACAGTTGAGTCAAATAATGAGTGATAGTCCCAAATAGGCCTAGGGATGAGCATTGGGTGAATCCATGTGTTGCTTGAGGTCACGATGTTTCACGAGGCCCCTGAAGCACAAATATACTTTTTAATACTTTCATCATCTGTATATATGGGTACTGTAGATTTTAATGATTTTTGGCCTCTGGAAAGGTAATAAAAAGAATAATATTTGATAAAACGTGTAGAGATTAATAAAACTTGACATGGTAAAAAGACTATATGCTCAGCGCAAACCTCGGTGATAACACGACTACAAACAAACTACAGAATGGGTGGGATTGGAACCCATGGCAAGCAAGTTGCAAAACTCCAGGCCAGTGTGTTAACCACTGGGCCAGCTGGTGGGAAATTCATGTGTAAAAACTTGCATTTGTAGTCACAGTGGTGGCCCATGCTAACGTCCCTATAGTGTATATAAATACACCTAGTTGTATGAATCTTACTGTAGTCAGGTGGCCCAGTGGTTACCGCACTGACCTGGAGTTTTACCACTCACTTGCCATGGGTTCTAACCCCACCAGTTCCCTGGTTTTTAATAAAGCTCTACTAAGCACAAACATTTAAAGACTGAGTTCCTCTGCATATGGCATCCTTTTTGCCATATTTTCCAGCAAGTTACACATTCTCTGTGTCCTATACAGTACTATTAAACACTATTTTTGAACTATTCTATACCTCTATTATTCCTATATAAAACACTGATTTACTATTTACACTAAAAGAATTAAAAATTACGAAAATTATAGGTAAAGAAAACATTCATACCTGTTTAGTTACATTGAGAATTTTTTTTGTTCAAGTGAATATTGTTATATTCACAAGAAAGCTCTAAACTTACATGGTAACAGATCAATAAAATATACGGAACTAACATTAATACACAGCTCCTATAGCTGTGTATTAATGCTAGTTTCATCCTAATTTTTGAAAAAACAATAAAAAGTTTCAAGTTATCCCTACAGATTTGAGATTTATTATCGAACATTTTTTTTCTTACAAGAAACCGACACACTGCCTCAGTATCCAGTTTTTTTTCTGGCTTAATAGATTTCCCACAACCATGTCTCTGTATTCTGGTTATTGTTCAAATTCAAATTATTAATTTATTTTTACCATGTGTTCCAGCCTGGTCATGGACCGGGCCACGGGGGCGTTGATCCCCGAAACCCCCTACAGGTATACTCCAGGTATACAAGGCGCACGACAGAAGTATCATAACGGTGAATTAGTAACCATGTTCAAGGGTTAATTACCCTCTTACTTTACGCTAAAGCGTATCCCAAAGCCGATTTTCTAAGACTTTTTTGTGGGAAAGACGCATCTTATATGCCAGAAAATACAGTATGCAGTTTACAGATAATATAGTTTACATGTACAGTACAATTAAAATATCGTTGGTTACAAAATAAAGACACTAATATGAAATGCATTTCAGGTAAACTAATCCAAATTTTTAAGACTACTTAGGAGCTAGACGTAGATTGTATAGTAGGTTTATAAGGTGTACTGTAGTTCAGCTGGTAGCGCACTCGGCTCACACACTGAGGTCCAGGGGTCGATCCCCGGTACGAATGAGAACATGAGGATGTGTTTCCTTAAGACACCTGCTGTCCCTGTTCACCTAGCAGTAACTACATGGGTGTTAGGTGACAGGTGTGGGTGGCATCCTGGGAACAAAATTAACCTAAGTTGCATGAAATGCTCTGCATAACCAAGAACTTTCTACACAGTATGTCACTGGAGTCAGCTATGGTCTGTATAAGTTGTATCATGTACTTGTAGAAATAAACATTATTATTATTATTATTATTAGAGAGGCATACAGCATGTTAATAAGACATAGTAAGCAGTTTAAGGCATTTATTAAGATGATACTCCATCCACCAGCAACTTTATCAATCCATACAGATATAAATATACAGAACATACATTCACAAACTGTAGTATATATCATAAATATATTGGTGAACAGTATATAATGAGCTGATCAGGTATAATATCCAGTGGAGACACAGTCTTCGATGATGCACTGACTTTCTTGGGTTACCCTAGTGGCTAACCCTCAGGGTTAAAAATAAAAACAAATTTTGTCTTAATATACAATAGTACTATTATTTATATATACAGTATATCCTCTGCTTCTTTATATCTGTAGGTACTGATAAAATACCTTGTGTATGTCAATTAAGGTACAGGTAGACATAAGTACAATTATCATACATAGTGGAAATTACCCACCAGGATAACCCAAAAAAGTCAATGTGAGTTATTTCCATGGGGACAAAACAGTGGCCCGTGGCCTGGTAAGCAACGCACTGGCTTCACACACTGAGTGTCCAAGGTTGGCATGTTTCCTTACACCTGTTGTCCATGTTCACCTAGCAAGAAAGCAGGTATCTGGGTGTTAGGTAACAAGTGTGGGTTGCATCCTGGGAGACAAGACTGAAGGACCATAATGGAAATAAGACAGACAGTCCTCGATGACACACTGACTTTCCTGGGTTATCCTTGGTGGCTAACCCTCTGGGGTTAAAAATCTGAACAAAATCTTATCTTACCAAAAAAAATCTTATATACATCTTCTGAATAAATGCCATAAACTGCATATTGTGTCTTATTCAAATATTAATATATATATTACCAGTGACAGATGTACTGTAGGAAACTTACCTAACTGAAGAATCCACTTGCAAAATAACGATGCTTTTGGAAATCCGCTCGCTCCGGTAATCTGGCCTATGATATGTATCTCTGCCATAAGGCCTTCTTCATGCTATGAAAAAATTAAGACACGGCACATGAAGCAAATACTGTATATGTACAGTGGTGAACTAAATATTCTATTTCTAGTACACCTACCATCCGACTTACGACCGAGTTCGGTTCCGAGAAACCGGTCGTAAGTCGAACTTTACTACTGAATATCAATAATACATTTTTGTAATGACTTTATTTTATTGTTTTATTTTGGTATTTCATGTTTTACTTTACTTTTTATGTTGTTAGTACTGTATTTTATACTGTAAGGTTTAGGATAAACACTGTGTACAACACAAATAGTTTCCCTGAAATTTGGCATAAAAAACACGGTCATAAGTCGGATGGCAGGTGTATTACATAAATAACAAAAAGGCACAATACCGTGACTGGAAAAGTACACAAATAACCCGCACATAGGAGAGAGGAGCTTATGATGACATTTTGGTTAGTGTGACTTTGTAAATGGTCCGAGTCGGACCGAAATGCCGTAAGCTTCTCTCTCCTATGTGCAGGTTATTTGTGTATTTCTAGCATTACAGATGGTACCTAGGTGTTCACCTACTGTTGTGGGTGGCATCCTGGGGAGGACCTAAGAACCCTAATGGAAAATGACACATGGCTTGGCTTGTCTGGGTTATTCTAGGTTACTAACGCTCTCGGTTTCATAACTGGAATAAAGTCGTCGTTGTTGTCTTCTATTTCTTCTGCTACATCTACTTCCTCTTCCTCCTCCTCTTCCTCCTCCTCTTCCTCTTCTTCTTCTTTATTTACATTATTACTTATTAACATTAAAAGGTAAATAACCCACAGAAAGTAAAACATTGCGAGGTCTTTCAGTCGTCCCCCAGGATGCGACCCACACTAGTCAACTAACACCCAGGTACCTATTTACTGCTACATATATACACTAACAAGGGCAGCAGGTGCTAGGAGACTTGCCCATGTATCTTCCTGCCCAGGATTCCACCTGGATCCTTTGATTGTGAGCAAAACGTGCTACCAAGCACCTCAAGGTACACTTTATAATACAGTATTTTATTATACAACGGTTATTAATATGACGAAGATTTTGTAAAGTCAATAATTTGAAAAGCTAATAAAAGCATATTTACAAAAAAAAAAAAAACTTTATAGTAGCGGACACGTACAGTAAACCCTCGATATAAGGGACTAATAGAGGATAATTATCTGCGTCTGTTAATTACAATATTATTATTAACATGGGGAGACCTAAACCCGTATGAATCGGGCATATTATTTATCTTTATTACATTATCCTAGGATAATTATTTTCATGGGGAGCACTAAACCCATAGGGGGTCACACAATTGTCTGTCTGTTAATTCGAAAATTATCATAGGGAGACCTAAACCCGTATGAATCGGGCAGATTATTTACCTTATTTCTTTATCCTAGGATAATTTTCATGGGGAGCACAAAACCCATAGGGGCTACACATTGCCTCGGGAAGTGGAAGGCAGTTAGGCTTGATCCAAGGACTGGGAGCACCGCTCCAACTCCTTGGATCAAGAACCCCCTCACCAACCTACAAAACATCAAATCCTCAAAATCCGTCGGCCTAAATAGACCTATAACAGCCTAAATAACCATCAATCTCCCATCTATCCTCATCTATCATCATCACACATCATCAATCATCACTCTACACTCCATTACAACAATCATCATCAATGTTTAAACTCATAATCATCAAAAATTTGACACAAATTACCAAAAAAAAGTCGAAATTCTGTTGTTTTTGTTTACATTGTGAGGGAGACTGAGTGTAATTAATTAAGGGATCACAACTCTATATTATTATTATATTTATCTTATTTCACTGTAAGATTTTATGTGTATATATATACATATACATATATACATGTATATATGCATAAATATATACTTGCTTCCTTGTAGTGGCCAGTGAAGAGGTGAAATTAAGAGCCGTGACTCGACCCCTGCAGCTACGAATGAGTTAGTACATACATATGCATGCATACATATACATTTATTTATTTATTTATTTATTTATTTATTTATTTATTTCCAATTTGTGCACACATACAGAGGTACAAAAAAAAATACAGATAAGAGCAGTATGCCAAAGCCACTTATACTATGCATAGCATTACGGGCTGGCTTAAAATTAACTTAAGATTAACTAAGCAATGATTATTATTATTATTATAATCAAAAAGAAGCGCTAAGCCACAAGGACTATACAGCGCTGCTACTAAGCAATGATGAAATCAGTGATAAAACATTAATGTAAACAGATAACTATAAAGCACAAGTGAGTATTACAAAGACAGGTCATATGGTTGCATTCAGTTAGGTAGTGATTCTGTTAGGTAGTGTATTTAAAAAATAATAAAGTTAGATTGGGTTTTAGGTTTAACATTTATGTGATATAATTGTGAGAAACATTTAAGATATACAATTTATAAGGTTCAGTTATTCAGTATTTATTTGGTTTTGGGTGAGTAAGTGATCTTTGAGTAGAGACTTGAATTTATAAACAGGTAGTGTTTCTTTTATATTTACAGGTAATGAATTCCAGATTTTAGGGCCTTTTATGTGCATTGAGTTTTTGCATAGTGTGAGATGGACACGAGGAACATCAAAGAGTGATCTGTGTCTTGTGTTATGGTCATGTGTTCTGTTGAGGTTGGCAAGATGTTTGAGGGGAGGGTTAATATCAGAGTTAAGTGTTCTATGTATGTAATAGGTGCAGTAATAAGTATGAATGTTTTGTATGGTGAGTAGGTTTAGTGTATTGAATATTGGTGGAGTGTGCTGCCTGTAGTGGGAATTTGTTATCATTCTAACTGCAGCCTTTTGTTGGGTAATTAGTGGTCTGAGATGGTTAATTGTTGTTGAGCCCCATGCACAAATTCCATAGGTGAGATAGGGGTAAATAAGAGAGTGATATAGGGCCAGGAGGGCTGACTGTGGAGCATAGTACCGTATCTTCGATAGTATGCCTACAGTCTTGGAAATTTTCTTAGAAATTTGATGTATATGTGTATGAAATTTGAGTCTATTATCAAGGTGGATTCCTAAGAATTTTCCCTCTGTTAGTTTTGTGATAGGTGATCCATTTATCATTATGTTAAGAGGGACATCTGTAGCTCTGTTACCAAACTGAATGAAGTAGGTTTTGTCAATGTTTAGTGTAAGTTTGTTAGTCCTCATCCAGGTAGATATTTTCTGTAATTCGGTATTTACAGTATTGGCTAGCGTGACTGGGCTCGGGTGAGAGAAGACGTATGTAGTGTCATCTGCAAATAGTGTGGGTTTGAGTAATTGCGAAGCATTTGGAAGGTCATTTATGTATAGGAGAAAGAGAAGAGGGCCAAGGACACTTCCCTGTGGGACACCAACTGTAATTGGTTGTGCAGAAGAGTTTGCCCCATTTGCGTACACATATTGGCTTCTGTTGCTGAGGTAAGACTTGAGGTAGTTGAGGGAGTGCCCTCTTATACCATAGTGTGACAATTTTACGTGGAGCAAGTCATGGTCAACTGTATCAAAAGCTTTACGTAAGTCAATGAAGATCCCCAGTGGGACTTCTTTTTTCTCTATTGCAGTGTATATATGTTCTAGCATGTGTATAATAGCATCATTAGTATTTTTATTAGGCCTGAATCCAAATTGGCAGGGGTTGAGTATGTTTTGGGAGATAAGGTAGGAGTAGATTCGTTTATGAATTAATTTTTCAAAGATTTTTGAGAGAGGGTGTAAGTTGGATATTGGCCTATAGTTATTCAACTCTGTTTGGTCTCCTCCTTTGTGGATCGGGGTGACCCTTGCTATTTTGAGTACTGTGGGGAAGGTGGAGGATTCAATGGATTTGTTAAAGAGTGTTGCAATGATTGGTGATAGCACTTGTGACCCTTTTTTGTATATAAGGGGTGGTAAGGTATTTAAATCTCCTGCCTTGTTTTTTAGTGCGTTGATGATAAGGGAGACTTCGTATGGGTTAGTCGGAGCTAGGAACATACATATGCATACATGTATACATACATATATATAGCGAAGAGGTGGGGTCAGGAGCTGTGACTCGACTCCTGCAACCACAAATAGGTGAGTACATAAATAGGTGTCCCGTGGCTGGGTTGGTAGCGCACTCAGCCCACACACTGAGGTCCGTGGTTCGATTCCCGGTGCGGGTGGTAACATAAGGACGTGTTTCCTTAAGACACCTGCTGTCACTGTTCACCTAGCAGTAACTAGGTACCTGGATGTTAGGTGACTGGTGTGGGTGGAATCCTGAGGGACAAGATTGAAGGATCACAATGGAAATAAGACAGACAGTCCCTGAATGGCCCACTGACTTTCTTGAGTTATCCTGGCTGGCTAACACTCCCTATCCTGGGTTATCCTGGCTGACTAACACTCCCTACCCTGGGTTATCCTGGCTGACTAACACTCCCTACCCTGGGTTATCCTGGCTGGCTAACACTCCCTACCCTGGGTTATCCTGGCTGGATAACACTCCCTACCCTGGGTTATCCTGGCTGGCTAACGCTCCCTACCCTGGGTTATCCTGGCTGACTAACACTCCCTACCCTGGGTTATCCTGGCTGGCTAACACTCCCTACCCTGGGTTATCCTGGCTGGCTAACACTCCCCACCCTGGGTTATCCTGGCTGACTAACACTCCCTACCTTGGGTTATCCTGGCTGACTAACACTCCCTACCCTGGGTTATCCTGGCTGGCTAACACTCCCTACCCTGGGTTATCCTGGCTGGCTAACCACCCATACCCTGGGTTATCCTGGCTGACTAACACTCCCTACCCTGGGTTATCCTGGCTGGCTAACACTCCCTACCCTGGGTTATCCTGGCTGACTAACACTCCCTACCCTGGGTTATCCTGGCTGGATAACACTCCCTACCCTGGATAATCCACAAAATGAGCATTCTTTCTGTATTTATTATGACATTAAACAGTTTTATCAGAGATATTTAAGCATCTTGTTCAGTATGGAGATCCAGGAAACAATTCCTGGTTGGGTTTAGACTTACATTAACCTTGCATAATGAACAAGGAAAGGAAGACTAGGTCCTGTTGTTGTTGTCTCTGCAATGTTTGCATGGAAGCCGCTTTATAGGTAAGTAAGTAAGTAAGTAAGTTTATTCAGGTATACACAAATACAGTTACATATAATTTTCATACATAGCAGCATATGTGTAGAGAACCTGGGATAACCCAAAAAAGTCAGACAGAGTGACTTATTTCCATTGGGGTCCTGTTCCAGTGAGGTACTGTTTTATCTTATTGTGGATCATCATGAGGCCTTTTTGCATGACGACTGCAACGTTCTTCATGTGAGGAAGACCGTGAGGAAGACCGTGAGGAAGACCGTGAGGAAGACCGTGAGGAAGACCGTGAGGAAGACCGTAAGGAAGACCGTGAAGAAGACCGTGAGGAAGACCGTGAGGAAGACCGTGAGGAAGACCGTGAGGAAGACCGTGAGGAAGACCGTGAGGAAGACAGTGAGGAAGACCGTGAGGAAGACAGTGAGGAAGACAGTGAGGAAGACCGTGAGGAAGACCGTGAGGAAGACAGTGAGGAAGACAGTGAGGAAGACCGTGAGGAAGACCGTGAGGAAGACCGTGAGGAAGACCGTGAGGAAGACCGTGAGGAAGACAGTGAGGAAGACAGTGAGGAAGACCGTGAGGAAGACCGTGAGGAAGACAGTGAGGAAGACAGTGAGGAAGACAGTGAGGAAGGACCGTGAGGAAGACCGTGAGAAGACCGTGAGGAAGACCGTGAGGAAGACCGTGAGGAAAACCGTGAGAAAGACCATGAGGAAGACCGTGAGGAAGACCGTGAGAAAGACCGTGAGAAAGACCGTGAGGAAGACCGTGAGAAAGACCGTGAGGAAGACCGTGAGGAAGACCGTGAGGAAGACCGTGAGAAAGACCGTGAGGAAGACCGTGAGGAAGACCGTGAGAAAGACCGTGAGAAAGACCGTGAACAAGACCGTGAACAAGACCCTGAAGATGAGAAACTTGGCGACGATGTCAGGGTCCTTGGGATTTCCTTGGTTGGTCTTCTCTCAGAAAGGGACACAGATAACCTGAATTTCTTGAGGCTGATGTATTTGTCTCTCAAAGTACCACAGTCACACCTGTACAGCAACCAGCCATTGACATAACAAAGATGGAGGACATATCCAAAGGGTCGCATGTACCAGCGTTTTGCTCTGAGTGGAGACTTGTAGAGATGGACCAACATATCATTCTCATACACAAATAATCCGCACATAAAAGAGAGAAGCTTACGACGACGTTTCGGTCCGATTTGGACCATTTACAAAGTGTGACTTTGTAAATGGTCCAAGTCGGACCGAAACGTCGTCGTAAGCTTCTCTCTTTTATGTGCGGGTTATTTGTGTATCATTCTCGTCTGTGCCTCCCATATGGGCACTGTAATTCTTTATGACTGAAGGACAGTCAACATTCACCTTTTAATCTCTGTCACAAGGTTGATGCCCATATCATTTGTCAATAAAATAACAACCTTACTGTCTTTCCAAAGTACAGTAATGACACCATCCAATGAGCAGTAATCCATAGCACATTTTTCACCTTTTTTTCCCATGTCGTTGATAGACCTAAGTGGTGCATGACCTAAGCGGAGTTCCATGAGTCTGGTCCAGGGGCAGAGTGCAAGGGCATGTCATTTATCGCCTGTTCGAAGTCATTTGGCGTCAGGATAACATCGGATAGGCTTGTGTTAATCAAATTTTGTGGC